AGTCTTCTCGCGCTCGCACGCTGGCCCCCCGCGGCAGGCGGCGCCCGCACCCTCCGCCACCTGAACGCCCGGCTCCCACCTGTAAATTCATTCCTGCCACCTGAAGTTTTTTGGCACCACCCGGCACCCGGTGCCCGCTCGTCTCCAGCCCGCTGCCGCGCTTTTTCTTTGCGTCTGTCCCCTGCGCACCTGTCCCTGTGCTGTGGTCCCTGTGCTGTGGTCGTTGCTTCATCCCTTCCTTCTTCTGTGCCCTTCCATCTTCCTGCCCTTGCTTGCATTCCTCGATTCAAACCCTGCACTCACCTGTACCTCCCACTTGCATGCTGGTTTTGTTCTCCCCAGGCTCCCTCTGGTCGTGCAAACTCGATTCCTGGCCTGGCAAAACAAGCAGTCTCTCATTGAGATCATGAGAGGCCAATGAGAGATCAAAGAAAGGAGGCCATCCCAGCTGGAAAGGACGGGTGGTGGCCGAAGGTGGCCCCCTCCCTCATTGTTTCTTGCGTTCTAAAGTCTGCTGCGAGCTCTGGGCACACAGTGGGGTGCTCTGCCTGGCTTTCTGTGGCTGAGCTGCAGCTTGTGTGAGTAGGGGGTGAGGCTAGGGCGGCCTCTCTCTGCCCAGCAGCGCCCTGTGGGCACTCATCAGCAGTGGCAGGGAACTGCAGGAGGGATGGAGGCGTCACCCTTTGCTGGGGCGGCCTCCCTGCCCGCCTTCCAAGACGAGCCTGCCCTCCCCTTGGAGGGCCACGGGCAGGGCTCGCCAGCCACCCAGGAGCTCAGGTGGGGCCAGGGGTGGGACGCAGGGAGGTTGTACTACCCAAGCGGCAGGCAGCGGAGTGGGCGGCGGCGGTAAAGCGGCCGCGCCTTGCACGCCGCCGCCGCGGCCGCCGCGCCGGCTGCCCTGCGCGGCGCCAACCTTGGACCCCCACCCCCTCCTCCTGCCCGCGCCCCATGCAGGGCCGGCGCCCTGGCTGCCCGCAGCGCCTCTGTGGCCAACCCTTTTGATGTGGCGGAGCTGTTGGCGCGGATCAGCCTGCTGGCGCCCTGCCCCGCGCCCAGCCTGGGCAGCGGCGGCCCGCTGGCCTTGACCGACGCAAGCAGCCGCCTGGTCAGCTGGGTGCAGCCCTCGGGGCCGCGCAGCAAGGGGCAGGGCGTGGAGGATGTGGAGCAAGGGGTGGTGCTGGCTGAGCCCACGTCCACGGGGTGAGAATGAGCTGCTGGCACACGGGTGGCGCGGCGCTGCGCTGCCCGGGAGAGCGCGGGGCTGCCAGCCGCCGCTGCCGCCCCTCATGCCTCCCTCCCTGCGCTCCTGCAGGGGCGCGCTGCTGCGCATCACGCTCTTGGCCGCAGGCTTCATCATTGGTGAGCTAGAGTTGGTGAAGGTCTGGGCCGGGGCCGGCCCCTCGCGGTGCCGCCGGCCGCGCGAGGCGCCCAGGCTGGCCCACCGCCACGGCCGCTGCCGCCGCCGCTTAACACGCAGCTGCCCGCCGGCCTGCCCCGCGCCGGCTGCCACTTGCAGGCCCCGCGGGCGCGTGCGTGCGGGACGTGTGCCAGGCCACAGGCACAGACATCAAGTCCTGGACCGCCAGCCCAGACGAGCGCTGCACCCGCTCCTGCCGCCTGTTCAGGCGCGGGCGCCGCCGCTGCTTTGCCCGCGCGACGAGCCTGCCGGGGCCACTGCCCTGCCCCTTGTGTGGCCTCGTTGCTAGCCCCTGTGCCATGCCGCACCTCTCGCCCGCCACGGCCCTTCCCGGCTGCCCCCATGCACACCACATGCCGCCGCTGCCTCCCCGCTGCAGGGTGGAGGGCCCACGGCAGGGCGTGGCGCGCGCAGTGGGCATCCTGTGCGATGCCGTGGGGCGGTACAAGGAGCTGTGCGAGGGGCAGTACGCAGGCGCGCACGGCAGTACGCAGGCGGCGCCACCCGGCATGTCCTGCCGGCGCGTGCATCCCGTTTCGCCGCCACCGGAACCGCAGCAGCGGCAGGGGCTGCGCGTGCCGCCGCCCGGCGCTCAGCCGGCCCGTGGGTCTGAGGTGGCGCGTGTGATGTGCCTGTGCACCTCCCTGCCCCGCCTGCAGGCCAGAGCGTGGCTCGCATCCAACATGTGAGCGGCGTGGACTTCTCCTACCAGCCACCGCCCCGCAGCGTGGTGCCGTACGCTGCCTCGCTCAAGGGCCAGGCTGGCGCCAGGTGGGCGTGCCGGTGGGGGGAGGCGGGCGGGCACGGGAGGATAGGAGGAGCAGGAGAGGCACCTCGCGCTGCGATGATGGCAACTACGCCTCCTGCTGCGCCTACTGACTGTGCGGCGCCCGCCCCCCGCCTGCAGGCGCCAGGGCAGCGGCAAGTCCCACAAGGCGGGCTCGGCAGGCGGCGGCAACGGTAAGCCGCCTCGCGGCGCCGCCCCAGGAGCGGCAGGGCAACGAGGGTGGGCGGGCGCTGCCGCGATGCTTGCGCACAAGCAGCCCCTTGTGTCTCCTGCAAGGCACAGGCCGGCCACCCTTTGCAAGGGAGGATGGGGAGCCCCCCCCCCCACCCCACCCCACCCACCGATCCCGCTTGCTTGCAGGGCGCCAGCAGGAGCCGTGCCCTCTCCCCCGGCCCGCTCACGCCGCCAGACGCGCCCAGGCGCTCCCGCTCCCTCTCCCCACACCTCCTCCCTTCCCCAGCAGGTCCCCGCTGCAGGCCGGCACGGCAGCGGCAGCTCGCAGGCGCGCCGCGGCAGCTCCGCTGAGCGTGCGCCGGGCGGCGCTGGTACTGGCGGCAGCCCCGGCCTGAGCCCCACGGCCGCCGAGGCCGGCGCCGGGAGCGGCGCCGGGAGCGGCGGCAGCCCCGGCACCAGCCCCGGCTCCGGCAGCGGCCGGGGCGGCCAGCGCGGGGCGGCCGGCAGGCTGAAGCGCGCCGGTTCGCTGCCCTCGGCGGCCGGCAAGCTGCCCCAGCAGCAGCACCCTGCCCCAACAGACAAGCTGGAGAAGGGGGATGTGATGAGGCGAGTGAGGGCGGGGAGGGATGAGCAGGCTGCCGGGAGCTGCAGTGTGTGGCTGGTCCCAGCCAGTGCTCTCCGCGCCTGCGGCTGGCACAGCATGCACAGCACACACAGCTGACTTGCCCACGCCTCCACCCTCCACATATGAATGGCTCCCATCGCAGGTCTGTCTTTGGCGCCGAGGAGCCGCCAGCCGCAGCCCGCCGGGAGCAGGCCGCAGCGCCGGGGCAGCAGCACATCAGCCTGCTGCTGCAGCAGCTAGCGCAGCAGGATGCGGCGCAGCAGGCCGCCGCCGCGGCCGCCCTGGCAGACCAGCAGGCAAGGCCGGCACGCGCCTCGGCCTGTCCCCACTCCAGGCCCGCCCCGCTTGCACCAGCTGGCCTGGCTGCCACCGCGTGTGCTCCCGCTGCTGTGCCGCGCCCGACCCCGGGCGCCGAGCCCCTCCCGCCTCTTCGCCCACCGCAGCAGCTGTGTGCCGCCTGTGTGCCCCTCCCTCCCCCCTGCAGGGCCTGCGGGGCAGCTATGAACTGAGCGAGCCCGGGGTGCTGCTGCCCTCCAGCCTGTCCCCGCTGGCAACCCCCTGGACCCACCTCCCCGACTTTGCCGGCACCGCGGCGGAGGCGGAGGCGCGCCTGGCGGCGCAGAGCCTGGCCAGCAACGCCGGTGTGCTGGCTGCGGCGGCGGCGGCCTGGCAGGTGCGGGGCCTTTTTCCAAGCTAAGCTGCAACGCGTCCAGGGGGGCGAATGCGGTGCTGCGGCAGCACACCACACCACATGCTGCGCTGCCTCAGCACAGCGGGTGGCACGCAAGGCGACCTTTCCTTCTCCCCCTCCTGCGCCCGCCCGCCTCCCGCTGCAGAGCGCGGAGCGGCAGCAGGCGGAGCTCAGCGAGGAGCTGCTGCACCTGGCTGCCGCCGCCGGCCTGCTGGGCACCCTGACCGGTGACGGTACCGTGCCAGGTGAGGGCGCCGGGGTGGCTGCCCTGGCCCAGCTGCAGGCAGCGGGCCACCCCATGCCGCCGGCCCCGCGCTCGAGCCTGGACGGCGGCACCAGTGCCGGCATGGGAGCCGAGCCTGGCCTCTATGCCGGCGGCTTTGGTGGCGGCGGCCTCCCTCCTCAGCAGGAGCAGCACATGCCTCTGTCCGCCTTCCAGCCGCCCAACTTCACTCCCTACGACACAGGTGCTTGGTTGTTGTGTGTGTGTGTGTGGAACGGGGCGGCAGTTTTAATGACTTGCACCCATGCAGCCAGATCTGCAGGCACGATGCCTGCTCACACTGCCTGCCTGCATTGCCTGTGACTGCAGTCGGCTGCCGGCCTGGCCCTGGCGCCCCCAGCGCCAGCCCTGGCTCCAGCCCCGGCCTGCCCGCTGCCTCTGGCTGGGGGACCGGGCGCAGCCCCGCCAGCCCCGCCACTCCTGCAGACGGCAACCCCTCCGGCCGCGCCTCGCATGCTGGGGACAGCAGCGCCGACAGCACCAGCAGCAGCAGCGCGGCTGCCAGCCGCCAGCTGCTGTTCGAGCAGGCCGAGCCGGGGACCCCGGGGCCGCGGCAGGCCGCCGCCGCCGCCATGGCCACCCCTCCCAGCGCTGCCACGGCGGCGGCTGCTGCCGTCGGCCTCGCCAGCCCCTTTGCCACGCCCTGCGCCCCGGAACTGGCAGCCTGCTTTCGGGTTCGGCCCCATGCCTGCCGCCTTTGCGCTGGCGCCCAGCGGCGACTCGCCAGGAGGCGCTGACGTGGCGGGCGCTGACGTGGCGGGCGCGGGCGCCGAGGCCGTGCACCGAGGCGAGGGCCCCTCCCGCAACTTCTCCTCAGCCCCCTTCCTGCCCTTCAGCGGCCCCGCCCTGGCCCGCGCCGCCTCGGTGCCCGGCCCGCAGGGTGAGGCATGCGCCGCTGCACGTCCCAGTGCCCTGCCTCGTGCGCCACCACGCTCTACCTCCCAGGGGTGCCGCCCTCAAGGCCCTGTGCTCCTGTGTGCATGACTGTGTGGCCCTCGCCCTCGCTCTCCCACCCCACATGCCTGCAGGCCACAGCCAGGAGCTGGGCCGCCTCACCGACCTCCTCACCCTGGCTCGCTCCAACAGCTACGCCTCCGCCCCCACCAGCCACCCCACCCCCGGCAGCGCCGACCACAGCCCCACCGCCAGCGGCGACTGCGGCGGCGGCGCCGCCTCTCCCGCGGTCCCGCCCCGCGCCTCGGGCTTTGGCGCCCAGGGTGAGCTGGGGGCCGCCCGCTGCGCCTTCACCCTGTGCCCTGCCCGCCTGCCATCCTGTCCTGCACAAAACGTCCCGCAGCAAATGTCTCAGTTGCGTGGCACCCAATCCCAATTCCACCTCCCGCCCTGCGCCTGCAGGCGGCTCTCTGTTTGCCAGCGCCTTCAGCCCCCGCGCCCCCGGCGGCCTGCCCGCGGCGCCCTCCCTGCCCATGCCCCGCCGCCTGGCTGCCGGGGCGCTGGGCGCGCGCAGCGCCAGCGCCGCCGCCGCCTTTGCCAGCGGCCAGCTGTTCAGCGAGGTGGACCTCATGGTGGACCAGATGTTCTGAGGGGCAGCTGACAGACAAGCAGCCCGAAATGCGCCGCATCCAAGCCTCTCCTTAGCCGTAGGGTAGGCAACCGCGTCATCGACAGGCAGAGACAGCGTCCAGCGCAAGCTAGCCGGCGATGAGGCGAAACAGATGAACCAGAGAACAAGATGAGCTAGCATTACAAGCATCCATCCACCCTATGAATCAGTGAAAACCCAGCCAGAAGGCCTCTTATGTTGCAGTACCTCGATCAGACCTTGATCCCCTCCCCGCCTGCCGCTCCCAAGCAGCGCGTGTTTCCCCCTCTTTTTGAGTTGTCCCACTGCAGGGCTGCCCTGCGCCGCCCTGTTGCCTGCCCTGCCGTGTTTGCATGCCTTCAAATGCCTTCAACCTGCCTGAACCTGTCATTGCCTGAGATCAAGTGCACTGCTCATGAATGGCAAGGTGGCGGGTGCGGCGCGCCAGCGCTCCACCACCACCTGCTGCATGTCCTGGCCAGGATGCACGCATTGACAGGCGGCGTGCTGCTCAGCGCTGGTTGGAGTGTCGACAGGCGGCGTTTGTGTCCAAGCGGAGGCAAGGCAGCCGCGCTCACAGGGCCAGCGAGCTCAGCACGGCCCACATGGCGCGCGGCCAGCCCTGGGGCGCCAGCCGCATCTGGCGCGCCGCCCGCTCCATCACCTCCACCGCCGCCGCCACCCGGTGCGGGTCGCGGCGCAGCGGGGAGGCAGCCTGCAGGCAGCATGGCAGGCGGCAGGCCCTGGCCTGGGCCGGCTCAATGCGGGGAGGCGCTTGCAAGGTGGCCCGGCGGATGCTGGCTGCCGGCACGGCGCAGCGGCGGCATGCATGCTGCGCTGCTCGGGGCTCGGCTTCCTGCCAGCTGGCTCCACCCCCACCTGCAGAGCCTCCTCCACCAGCTCACACACGCGTGAGGCGCCGGCCATGCCCCGCAGGCTGTCCAGCCACCGGTGCTCCCGCGCCACGCCCGGCCGCATGTGGGCCCGCAGGATGGCGGCCCCAGCCGCGGCCAGGACGCCGCGGCACGCCGCCTGCCGCTGCTCCTCCGCCGCACCCCGCATGCCATCCTCCACCGCCTCATGCACCCGCCCCAGGCGGTCCAGCGCCGCCGCCAACGCCGGGTGCGGGTGGTGCAGGCTGTGCTCAGGCGTGCCTGCAGGCTGGCAGCTAGGCCAAGACGCGTTGCGTGGGATGTGCACTGCAAAAACAGCAGGCAAGGCAGGCCGGGGCTGCGGGCTGAAGACTCAGGCTGGCGATGTGACGGAACAGGCGGTGCCGCCCCAAGCCGCGCCTGGCATGCCGGCGTCAGCGGGGCGGAGGGAGGGGCAGTGGTGCCAGACGGCTCGCTCGAGCCAGGGGAAGCAGAAGAGGCCTCCGGTGGGGTAGTAGGGCAGGATGGTGCGCACAGCAAAGCGCAGCATGGCCTCAAGGACGGCCAGTGCGGCGGGCTCGGCAGGGAGGTGCGCCAGCGCGGCGTCTGCCTGCTCGGCACACCTCCGCACCGCGGCCCTGGGGGCCGCCAGCTCTGGCCCCGCCAGAGCGGGCTGCTCCAGCAGGCGGGCCTGCAGCTGGGCCTGAGCGCTGCCGCCGCCAGCTGCAGAAGGGAGGGGCAGGACTTGAGCTAACTGTGGCGGAAGGGCGGGCAGGGCCCAGTTAGCTTGCATTGCGCAGTTTTCAACGCTCCCAGCTTACACAGCACTGCTGCATGCCAGCGCGGCCCCACCTCGCAGCACACGCCCCAGCAGGCACGTCCAGGCCTCCTGCATGAAATCGGAGCGCGCGTCGCCGCCGCTCCCCGCCAGCACGCCGCGCAGCTGCTCAAAGGCCCACACCACAGCCGTGACCGCGCCAGAGGAGGGCTCGCTGATGTCCAGCTCTGCGGCGGGAAGGGGCTCAGGGGCCAGAGGCTGGTCGGCTGCAGGCGAGGGCGGCTTGCGCTGGCAGCATGGATGGCAGGTGTGGGCTGGCAGGCGCATGGGCAGGCACGTTGGCAGGCAGGCCCCGCCTCGCCTGTCTTGCGGTTGCGGGTGGCCAGCGCGGGGTTGACCGAGGCGGCCCCTGGGAGGAACAGCAGGGCCTCCAGGCTCTTGCTGACCCGCCCGCCGCTGGCCGCCGCCTCCCGCACGTCTGCCGCCAGCACGTGCAGGCGCTGGCCCTTGGCGGAGCTGGCATCCTCCGACGGCCGCCGCGCCTTCTCTGCGCTGCACGGCAGCCAGCCGGGGCTGAGGGGCAGCTGCGCATGGCGCGCCGGGTGCTGGGTGCTGGGTGCTGGGGCGCGGGGCAGGCCCGGCGGCGGGCAGGCGGGCGAGGGCTGCAAGCGCTCGCGGGTCAGGGGCTTGAGCGCGGGCCGAGGCAGCACCCAGCTGTCATGCCCATGCTGCGCGCCGGCAGAGTCGAGCACCCGTGCACCGCGCGGCTGAGGCAGTCCTGCTGCCGACGGCCTCGAAGCCTGCAGCGGCAACGGAGTGCCGCGGGGCTGCGAGTGCTGTGCTGGCTGCAGCACAGGTGCACGGATGTAAAATGGCAGCTGGCACGCAGTGCCGCTGGAAACACCAGCAGCAGCTGGCGCGCCGCCCGGCGCTGTGCCAGTGGTGACCAGCAGGCGCTTGGCGGCGTGCTCTGTGGCCGCCGCGTCAAGGCCCGCCGCCTTTTTGCTCCGCTTCGCGTCCATCTGCAGCACAAATGCGCAATCGCAGAGCAACTACGGTCAACAAGTCGCAATTGGGTTCGATGGGGCGCTGTCTGTTTTTCTTTTGGGCTCACCACGCGCCCGCTCCGCGCCAACGGCGCAGAGAATAGTACACAGAGCAGCGAACCGGCGATGAACGGGAAAGGTCGGGCTGGAAGAAAGCCAGAATTGGCGGCAGGGTCAAGCACCCACCTGCGGCGCTGCCGTCGGGCAGGTGCTGGAGGCGCAGCACGTCGACGTCGGCGCACTGGTACAGCTCATCCAGCTCTTCACTGCAAATCTTCTCCACGCTGAAGCACTTCTTGGCGGCCAGCATGAACTCCGGTTCGGCCTGCATACGCCAGCCCCCACCGCCACGCCAGCAGTCAGTGCCCGTGGGTCAAACCAGCAGCCCAGCAAGCAGCCAGCTGGCCCCACCTGCCGATTCCTGCCGTGCGCTATGAGGACTTCCGTGCCAGGCCCCGACAACGCCACCAGCGACGCCACCAGCGGCCCCACGGCCTCGGAGATGTACATCACGTCGCAGGCGCACACCACCGCAAAGGGCGGCGCAAGCGCTGCCACGTCGGCGCCCCAAGTGTGCTCCCTGACCTCGAGGCTCAGGGCTGCAGGGGTGGGGCGGCGGGGGGCAGCACCAGCGCTGTGACGAGGACCAGAAGCAGCCCTTCCAACCAGCACTACTATGGTTTGCCGCACACGAGAGCAAATTCAAATCTGCTCGCACAGCCCCACACGCTCGCCCACTCTGCCTGCCTGCCTGCCTGCAGACCAGCCCGCCATTGGCTTTCGCGTTCTTCTCCAGCAGCACCAGGTTGGGCCCCAGGTCGGTGGCTGTCACCTTTGCGCCCAGCTTGGCCAGCACGATGCCAGGCAGGCCGCAGCCGGCCGACAGGTCCAGGCAGCGCGCCGCGGCGTAGCGCGCGGCATTCTTTTCAAGGTACTTGGCCAGCACGATGGAGCTGTCCCACACCGTCGAGGCAAAGCCCTGCTCCTTGAACCGAGCCTGATGGATGGTTAGCTGCTCGCCGCGGAATGGGTGCATGTACGGCCGGTCAAAGCGCACCTGCAGGCAGGGGGAAGGGAGTACTAGGTGAGGAAGTTGAACAATTGTGTTGCAAGCTGCATCCTCCGATCCTCCTGCAGGCTGGAGGGGCTGGGGGAGGTGGGCGGGGAGGCGTGCCCGCGACCCGTGCCTTGTCTGGACGGTGCTCGCGCTTCCATGCCCAGCTCCGCAGCCAGGCGTTGCTCGTGCGCTGGCGCTTGACCAAGATCTCCTGTTGCTCCTCCTGGCTGCTCATGGGACCTGGTGGGCTGGCCTGCGTTCGGGGGCAGGCTGATGCTCATGACGGTCGTTGCAGGCAGGGGCAGGCGGCGGTGAGCGGCGGGAGGCAGAGCAGCAGGGCGTGCACCTCTTGATTGAAACACTGTCACCCTCCCTGTAACTCGTTTTCTGGCTGTCTCGGCACCTCTGCGAAAGCCCAGGAGAGTTGGCTGCGAATTTGCTCTCAGGCGCACACCCCTGAGGCTTCCAGCTGTGCCAGAACTCTCAATAATGCAAGCCAATGCGATAGAGCGCAAAGCGATTGCTGGGACGCCAGCAAACTCCACGGTGGCAAGGACTTTTGTCCTCCCCCTGTTCTCAAAGCCTGTCTGTCCTTTCTCAGCCGCTGCACCCACGTCCGGCAGTCGGCAACCCCTCTCCTCGCACCGCTCCCCAGCCACCACATCCCACCGGCCTCACGGCGAGGAGTCCTCCTCTGCCGAGCTCCAGAAGCACAGGCAGCTGAAGGTGAGCACCTAAGAGCGCTGCGGCTCGTCAGTGCAGCGAGACTCCAGCAGTCTCGACCCTGCAGCCCGCTCCACGGCTGCTGCAGCGTCCCCAGCTGTTACTGCATGCACATCCGCCTGCCTGCGCTGCCCTCCGCGCCCGGGCAGCCCCCCAGGCACTCCCGCTCCGGGCGCCCGCCTCCGCCGCCGCCCGCCAGAACGTTCACCCGTCGCCGCCCTGGTGAGTGCTGCTGCAGGCGGAGCCCCAGTCCTGCAGCAGCCACCATGCAGATCTTCGTCAAGACGCTGACGGGGAAGACCATCACGCTCGAGGTGGAGAGCAGCGACACGATTGAGAATGTGAAGGCCAAGATTCAGGTGCGGGTGCCAAGCAGCGGGTGCCAGGGCACCGCTTTCCGCCAGTGCGGGGCTCCCACAGCCGCCTCAGCTGCATGCTCGGGTGCACCCACCCAACTGCCTGCGCTCGCTGTGGCCCCACGCTGCCAGCAGGACAAGGAGGGGATCCCGCCCGACCAGCAGCGCCTGATTTTTGCGGGCAAGCAGCTGGAGGATGGCCGCACCCTGGCCGACTACAACATCCAGAAGGAGTCCACCCTGCACCTGGTGCTGCGCCTGCGCGGCGGCAAGGGCGGCTTTGGCTCCCTGCTGCGCGGCGCCGGCAAGCAGAAGCTGACCGACAACTTTGATGCCTGCCGCGACCTGCACGGTGCGCGCCCCCTGCTGCTGGTGTGTGGGGCTGCGCAATGGGCGGCGACAAGAGCCGGCAAGCCTGCTGCCCAACCTCGCGGCTTCACATTTCACATCTGCCCTGCCCACCAGCACCGCCTGCCCCCCCTGCCCCGCCTCGCCTCCATGCCCGCTTCCCCTGCGCCGCCTCGCCTGCGCGCATCGTCTGACGCCGCCACCCACTTGCGCCCCTCCCCCCCTGCAGGCCGCCGCATCCGCCACAAGACGGCGCAGAAGAAGATGGCTGAGTGGGCGTCAGAGGCGCGGGAGCGGGAGCTGGAGAAGGTGGCCATGCGGCACCTCAAGGAGGTGGCCAAGCAGCAGAAGAAGGAGCAGCAGGAGCAGGTGCGCGTCGTAACGTTCGGGGTGTGTGGCCACGGCGTGTGGCCATTGCGTGCCAGGGCAGCCGGCACTGCGCGGCCGCTTGCCCCGGGCTGCGCCTGCCTAGGCCAGAGCCCTGCTGCCTGCCTGCCTGCTCACGGCCCCCTGCCATTGCCCTCGCTGCCCCCCGCCCTCCGGCGCAGGTGGATGTGCACGAGGTGCGGCAGGAGCACCAGCAGAACCTGAGCGGTGTGCTGAGCGCTGTGCACGACGCGCTGGCCAGCGGCGCGGCCGCAGCGGCCGCCGCGGCGCCGGCCGCCGGCAAGCGCAGGCCGCCGCTGGGAGGCGGCGGCGCGGGCAAGAAGCGGCGCATCGACCCGCTGATGGCGCTGGAGGGGCTGAGCAGCGACGATGATGAGGATGAGGATGATGAGGAGGAGAGCGAGGCGGAGGAGGAGGAGGAGGAGGGCAGCGGCAGCGAGCAGGCACAGGAGCCGGCGCCACAGCAGGAGCAGCCGGTGGCCAAGGCAGCTGTCGAGGAGGCAGCGGCGGCGCCCGGCGCCGGCAGCGACCGCTCATCCAGCGAGGAGTTTGCGGCTGGCGGCAACAGCGGCGGCGGCAGCCCCACACCCGCGGCCGGCGCCGCGGCCGGCGCCGCCGCCGAGGCCGCCGAGGCCGGCGCTGCCACCGATGCGGCCGCGGAGCCAGCGGCCGAGGAGCCAGCGGCCGCGCCGGCGCCGGCTGCTGCTGCGGCCGCACCTCACGAGCCCGTGGACCTCTCCCTCTACTCCACCGCCGCCGAGCTGCAGGCCGTGGGCCTGGAGCAGCTCAAGGCGGAGCTGCAGCGGGTGGGCCTCAAGGCGGGCGGCACGCTGGCGCAGCGCGCAGAGCGCCTGTTCCTGCTCAAGGCCACGCCCCTGGAGCAGCTGGACCGCAAGCACCTGGCCAAGCCGGCGGCGTGAGGCGGGCGTTGACACGGGGGGTGGCGTCCGCCCGAATGCCGTGCCAGCCGCGGCACTGCACCCCAGTATTTTCCTCTTTGAGCGACGTTCACTCTGCGCAGCACACCCTGTAGTGTGTGCCATCGCCTGGGGCGCTTGGCCTTTGCTGCTTGATCCGCACTTGTTCATTTTCATTTTTACCCTGCGCCAGGTGGCCAAACAGCATTGTTCCTGCGTGTCGCTTGCATGGCCTTTCAGAGCCGCGCTGCGGCAGCAAATGTACCGTGAAACGCAACAAAATTGATGTAAGAAAACACAATGCCGTGGCACAATGAAATCAGCACTGCAGAACAAAAGCCGAGCAACAAAAAAACACATAAGGCCCTATTCAGTGCCCTTGCGCCCTCTGCCGCGCCACGAGCCGCCGCCGCCGCCGCCGCCGCCGTCCTCGTCCCCGCGCAGCGCGCCCAGCAGGCGGCTGCCCTCCAGCAGGCGCCGGTACTGCTCCTCGCGCTGCCGCCAGCCGGCTGCCCGGCAGGCCGAGATGACGGCTCCCAGGGTGGTGGCATCGGGCCGCAGCTCCTCCCCCGCCTCCAGCTCCTGGAAGGTGCGCAGCACACCCTCGTGGTCCCCCGCGGCCAGCTGCACCAGCAGCAGGCTGTTGTAGGCGCGCAGGTCCAGCGGGCGGCGCTGCCGCCGGGCCTGCTTGCGCAGCTGGGCAAACACCGCGGCCGCCGCCGCCAGGCACGCCTGCCGCTGGTCGCCAGGGCTGGGGCCCGCCGGCGCTGCCGAGGCTGGCGTCGCGCCTGCACTCTTGCCCTGCTGCTGCGGCAGCCGCAGCAGCCCCTGCTTCCGCTGCTGCTTCCGCGGTGATGGCGGCGGGGCCGCAGCAGCGGCGCTGACTCCCCCGCTGCTGCCTGCTTCACTACTCTCCTCCCCGCTGCCAGCCGGTGCTGGCTCCGTGCACAGCTGCATGGCGGCGGCCGCCGCGGGGCGCACGTGGCGCAGGCAGCACAGCATGGCGGTGCCCAGCTGGCGGTTGATGCCCACCCGGTGCCGCGCCATCTCCCGCTGTACCGCCTGTACCGCCGCCAGGCCCTGCCCCGTGTGGAAGGCCGCCCGCAGCAGCGCCAGCAGGGTGTAGGCGTCGGGGCGCGTCCCCGCGCGCTGCATGCGGCGGTAGGCGGCGGCGCAGCCGCGGGCGTCGTGCGCCGCCGCATAGGCAAGCAGCAGCGCGTTCCAGTGGGTGCGGTTGGGGGGGCCCTGGGGGTCTGCACCACAGGCCGGGGCCGCAAGGGGGCGCGGGTCGGCCAGGCCGCCAGGTCAGCAGGGCGCACGGGGCGAGGCGGCGCAGCACACCAACATGCGGGCGGGACGGGGTGGCTGCAGCGCAGGCGAGAGCGAGAACCGAGCGACGGCACAGCGCCCTGCGCACGCCGCATTGTGGGGGGCCACACCTATGCCACACACCTGCCAGCATGGCATCCAGCAGCTGCTGCGCGGCCGCCGCCTGCCCCACGGCCGCGTAGCACGACAGCAGCTGCGCGCACAGCGGCGCGTCGGGCCGCACGCCGTCCTCCGCCAGCCAGCGGTGCAGCTGCGTGCCGCGGTTCCACTTGCCCGCCGCCGCCACCGCCGCCAGCGCCGCGCTGTAGCTGCGGCAGTCGGTACGAAGCTCCTCGCCCTCGTCACCCTCTGCACCCGCCGCCGCCTGGCTGCCGCCGCTGCTGGCGCTGCCGGCGCGCCCGGCCTCGCCCGGCCGCTGCGCGCGCTGCGCCCGCTGCGCGCGTGCCTCCGTCGCCAGCTGGCGCAGGCGCGCCAGCAGGCGCAGCGCCTCGTCTGCCTCCCCCGCATCCGCGCACACGCGCATGGCGGCGTTGAAGGCGTAGCGGTTGAGCGGGAAGCGGTGGCGCTGCAGCGCCTCCAGCGCACGCAGCGCGCCGCGGTGGTCGGCGGTGGAGCGGTACGCCAGGATGAGCGCCGCGCCTGCGCCGGCCCGGGGCATGGTGGGTGGTTGGGGAGGCGGGGAGGCGCGGCAGCGGCGTCCGGGGCGGCAGCGGGGGAATGCAGGCGATGGCGGCAGCATGCTGGCGGCGTCCGGCGGGTGATCAGGGCCCAGGCTGCACGCCCCGCAGGCTATGCCGCCGCGGCCGGCCTGCCCAGCCCTGCCCCAGGCCTGCCCCAGGCCTGCCCAGCCCTGCCCTGCCCTGCCCTGCCCTGCCCCCTCCGCCAGCGCCCACCTGCTTGGCTGCCCTCAATCTGGGCCGCCTGGGGCATGCGCTGCGTGGTGCGCCAGGCCTGGAAGGCGCGCCAGGGCTGCCGCGCCGCGCCGCACGCCTCGCACAGCTTGGCGAAGCTGAACTGGTTGGCCCTGCCCTTGAGGCGCATCCAGTGGAACAGCTGCTCCGCCTGCAGAACCGACCCCTGCTGCCCCAGCACCTGCAGAGGCGGGCGAGGAGGAGGGGCGTGCGGCCCGCGCGGAATCTCAGCATGGCAGCCATGACAAAAAAAAAAACAAAAAAAACAGCAGGTGGAATGGCCCCGCGCAGGCTGGCAGCAGGCGCGTGCCCGCCCGCCTGCCCGGCCCGGGCGCGCGCCTTGATGACCCAGTTGAGTGTGTGGGTGGGCACCGGCTCCAGCAGCGCCTCGTCAAAGCCGCCCGCAAGCAGGTGCTCCGCCACCCGCCCCTGAAGACCGCGCTGCAGCCGCGACCGCGGCGGCGACTCCGCGCCGCAGCCGTCCACGCTGCTGCTGCTGCTGCTGCTGCTGCTGCTGCTGCTGCTGCTGCTACAATCCTCCTTCGCCATGCTGCTTGCTGGTGGATCCACCGCTGCTTCCAGCTGCTGCACGCTGCCGTCAAAGGGCTGGTGGTGCCCGTCCGCCTGCTGCCGCAGGCGCGGCGGCTGCTGCCGGGCCGACGGGCCGGCACCCGCAGCTGAGCGCGTCGCATCGGTGTGCCCATCGGCTGCCAGGAAGGCACGCAGCACATGCTGGGTCATCTGGTCCCGCTGCTGCGCCGTCAGGTGCTGCAACAGGTCGGCGCCGCTGGCGGCCGGCGGCCGTGGCGCCGGCGGCTGGCCGCCGGGGCCCTCGCTGCCTGCCGCCGTCCAAGCCGCCTCTGACTGCTCCGGCACGGCAACCGCCACCCGGCTGCGGCCCCGTGGTGCGCCAAAGTCGCGCAGGCTCACCAGCCGCACAAGGGCAGTGGGCCGATGGTAAGCGCAGCTGAGGGGCTGCATGACGCTGTCCAGGCGCCCCTGCAGTCTGCGAAACTTGAGAAGGCGGGCTGCCGCAAGCTGAGCTATCGCGTGTGCCGACGCATGTTTGTGGCCGCCACCACAGCTGGGGCTGCACGCGCCGGTACGTAATGTGGAGACGGCTATAGAGCAATGCCGGGTGCCAGGGGCGGCGGGAGGCCCTCCTTGATCACCCCGCCACAGCGCCGCCAGCGTGCCTCCCGTGCTGCTCCGGGGTACCCTGCTGAATGCAAGCTGCTCATGCCTGGAGGTGCTACATGTTGCGTTTGGCGTGCGTTGACAAAATTGGCTTCGCTGCGAGACCAGAAAGGGGCAAGGGAGAGGTGTCCCAGGGCAGTGTGCCGCCGCCTCACAGCCTGGACGTGCGCGCGCCGCGCTGGCGGCGCGACTCGCGCTCCCTCTCCCGCCGCTCCTTGCTCTCCGCGTTCTTCAGCAGAATGACCAGCAGGCGGACGAAGATGGCTACGAAGTCCACGAACAAATTGAACGCATCCTTGAGCGGGTCGACCACCCCCGCCTCGCAGCGCTCCACGATGACCTGCGGGGCGCAGCATGCCGGGCAGGGCAGGCCTGGGCATCAGCCAGGGCCAGGCCACTCTCTTCCGCTCCCGAACCCGCCCAGCCTGCACTGCCGTGGCCTTGCCGGGCGGCGCAGGGTCCGGCCAGGGAGGCCTCATTTCTGTATTGCTTTGCAGGCGCTCCTGCTTCCACCCTGCCCTGCCCTGCTTCCCCAGCGCCACCCCCAGGGCTGCCCACCTGCGTGTCGTACACCACATATCCCGAGAAGACGACCAGGCCCAGGTAGAGCTCGGCCTGGAACAGCAGCGCGCCGCCGCCGAAGAACCAGGTGGCCAGGCGCATGACCATGAAGGTGGACAGCACCGAGGACAGCAGGCCGCCCAGGTAGAAGAAGTGGCGGCGCGGGGACAGCAGCGCGGCGGCGCTGAAGCACGCAAACACGCCTGCAGGGGGGGGCAGGCCGGGCAAGAGGGCAGGGCGGGCAGGAGCACACTGATGAGGGCAAGAGAGGTGCTTGTGGAAGGCTGCCAATGAGCCATCACTTCCCGCCCATCACGCAACCCGAAACCCCAGTCCCTGCTGCGCACCTGCGGTGCCGGCGAAGGCGGTGAAGAGCACGCCCGGGTGCAGCGCCAGCGTGGCGCGCACCAGCGGCGCCACCAGCAGGCCCTGGGACAGCGCGGCGGTGCCAAACAGGACGCGGCGCTTGCCCAGCGTGGCCGGCACGGACGGCACAGACATCATCCAGGGGACCGACACCAGGAAGCCCAGGATACCCAGGCCCTGGGCAAAGCCGGTGACGGCAGAGACATACACGCCGGCGGCGGAGAGGCACAGGGCCACGGCCAGGGTCAGGTAGACCTGCATGGGGGCGGGATGGGAGCTGGAAGCCTCGGGGGACTCGGCAGCCAGGCCACGTGGCGCAGGCAAGGAGTGGGGGCGGGAATGACTCGCGGTGCCTTCCGGGCCGGCCGTGCCGCCGCCGCCGGAAGCGCGCTGGCCGGGCAGGCAGCAGGGCGGCCCGCTACCTGCTGCAGGTGCGATCTGACGGCCGGCGACAGGTTGGTGAAGTCGAAGAGCTTCTGGGGAGCGGCGTGGGCGCGGGTGGCGGAGGCCCCCGCCAGGTTAGAGAGCCTGTCCACGAAATCCATGCTGTTCGTGATGGGTAGGAGCCAGGGATCGTGGAGAACAGGTTGCAGAAGCGGGAGGAGGCCCACAGCAACCCTCGTTCGGGTCGGCACGTCAGCTTGGAAAGAACCTGTCCATTTGTTTGCTGCCCTACTTTGTTTGATCAGGTAGCTTGTTATTTTCGCTCCCTGGAACGGGTTTGTGGTTTTGGCACCCGCCCAGAGCCCACCGTTGAGCCCTGCTGCTACAGCCCTTTCAGTCTGCCATCCCGCGCAAACCCCAACCCTCAGGGCACTCCTCAACGACCAGAGGACGCTTGGAATGGTCCAAGGGCATTGCAGGGCTGCGCCCTGCTCCTCCAGTTCAGTGGCCCGCTCGCTGTCGCTACCTCCGGCGGCGTGCGGCACCGGCAGGAGCAGCTGGCCTTGCAGTGGCAGCAGCAGCAGCAGCAGCAGCAGCAGTAGTCGCACGTTGCAAACCTGCTGTGCCTCGGCAGCGGATGATGGGGCAGCCTTGGCATGCAGCGGCAGTGGCAGCGCATTAGGCCCCAGCTTGCGGCAGCCACGGCACGCTGGCACCCGCTGCCACAGCGTTGGCACCAGCAGCAGCAGCAGCAGCAGCTCCGGCAGCCAGCTTGTAGTGCCAGCAACAGTAGGCGGGATCCGGGTGGTGACCCCAACAGGCTGGCACCCGCTGGACCACCCCTTGATATGGAAGGTGGGCAGGCATGGGCTGGGCATGCGTGGTTCTCCTGGTGCTTGCTTCCTGACCACGCAGTGTGCTGCATGGAAGCATGGAGCTACCATCTAGTAGTGTGCCGGTTGGGCCGCGCACTGGCTTTCAGTCTTGCAAGGAATGGCTGCCGTGGGGGCGGGTGGCTGCAGGGCACGGAGGAGGAGGCTGTGTTCCGCCAGGCCACGCCCTACCCGCTGAGCCCCTCCTGGAAGGTGCGGCAGGCGCCGGCTGCGCTGCTGCCTCCGCCCGCTCTCAGCTGCTTGTGCCCCGGAATGTGTGCAGCTACCCAGATGTTCGACCTGCCGCCCGGCGCTGCCCCGCCTACAGGTCATTCTGCTCAGCGACGGCTCCGTGACGCGGCACCTGCAGCTGATGACAAACGAACGGGTGCAGGTGGGGCGCCGGCGAGACGGCTGCACTGCCGTCGCGCAGGCCGGCAGATGTCTCAGTTGCCTGTCACCTGGCTTGGCGACTTGTTTTGCCGGCTGTGTAACTGTCAGGTGACTGGCAGGCCCTGTCGTGCTGTACTGGTGTCGCCCTCCCTCCCCAGGTGGAATGCATAGAGATGCGGGACATCGGGCACGAGCGTGTGGGGCTGCCCGAGCAGACTGCCGCCATCGAGGGCCCGCTGGTGCAGCGCCAGGTGCGCCGCAGCCGCCCGCCAGCAGCGGCAGGCAGGCAGCGCGTGCCTGGGGTGTGTGCCAGCGCCGGCGCGTGCGTGCTGCCCGCCTCGCCTGCCCTCCCCCTGTGCATGCTCCTGCTTGCCTGCTTGCCTGGCGTCGCCACTGCTTGCGTTGCTGTATTGTCTGGCGCAGGTGCTGCTGCACATCCCCGACCCTCACAGCAAGGCATACGTGTATGCCAGCTCGTGGTGGAGCGCCGACACGGTGGACCAGTACCTCAGGTGAGGGAGGGGGCGGGCTGGCGCGGCATGGCACGGCATAGCGCAGCGCAGCACAGCACAGGACGTCCCGTTACTCTCCTGCACAGGCATGCCTGCCGTGGCGCGGAGCTGGCCGCCTGGCCGCCTGTGCCCCTACCCACCTGTCGGCGGCGCGCCGGCCTCTGCCTCTGCCCCGTCTGTCGCCTGGTGTGCGAGCGCAGGGACCGCAGCCAGCCGATCTGGGTGTCGCTGAGCCAGGGCAGGACGGAGCTATACCGTGAGATACTGCAGCTGGAGCTGGGCAACAGCCCTTACCTGGAGGAGTGAGTGGGAGGGCGTGGGCCCCGACATGTGCGCCCTCGTGGGGGCGGACCGCAACGGGTGTGTTGCCTCGGGGTGCGCACGCCAGGGCAGGCAGCAATCCCAGCCCTGAACACACTGGCTGGCGGATTGCAATGGCGTGTCGATGTGCGCTGCTGCGTGTGCCAGCCCGCCACCTACCCAAGGGCAGGCACTGCCATCCCATCCCGCTCGCCCTGCAGGCGCTTCCAGGCGCGCGGCCCCTTCTGGGGGCGCCAGTACCTCTTCTGGCACGCCGACAAGCCGCTCACCCTCATATACGAAGTGTTCTCAACCGAGCTGCAGCAGTTCCTGGGCAGCCCACGGCAGGCGGAGCCGTGAGAGGGCGGGTGGCCCGCCCCAGGATGCGGACCATGCTGCGGCCACAAGGCGTGAGCAAGGCCGGCTGGCTTGGCGGCGGCGCCCCTGCACCCGCCTGCCGCTCCCGCGACACGCCCCGTCTGCCTGTAGAGCGATGTGCCAGCTGCGGCCTGCCCGGGAGTTTGTGAAACACACGCAGCGCTAGCACAGCAGCGGAGCTCGGTGCTGAGCATGGCTGCAGCGCCAGCATCTGGGCATGAGCAGCGTGATGTATGCAGCATCCGGCATGCCTACCTTGCCTTGTCATCCAAGAAGGGCCGTGCTGGTGATAATGGGCAGGGTCCTTGCAGAGCTGTGGTTCACCAGGGCGGGGGGGCAGATGATTTCACCCCCGGGGAAGGACCGCCAGGCGGGCAACTTGCTGGTGTGTTCAACTGCCGCCTGCAGCAGTTGTTCTACTTGCAGGCGGCGTGGCGAGCTCCCAAGGTCGATTAAATCATGCAGGGCGGTCCAGGCCCCTGTGCAGCCCTCTGCAGCCCGCACCGCATGCGCCCGAACCACGCTAGGCCAGTTCCGACAGCTCTGAATTGATTGAAGAAGAGGGTTTGGACAAAGGCGACGCCTAAAATCGATAATGTCAGCGGGCGAACTTGTCAGACAGCGGGCAGCCCGGTTCTGCAACGAAAACTGCCCCTGCCAGGAAGAAAGCCGGCTTCCTGGCAGCCCTGGCACCATCCTGCGGCTGGCCCATTAACGTATCTTCCATACCCAGTCTGCTGGATGGGCAAGCCGAGCCCCCTGTGCTCTCTTCGACAGCCCGCTCCCATCCCGCACCTCTCGCGCAGCTGCCTCCCCTGGCTGGTTCTGTTTACGGCCGTGGCTTCAGAAGGAGCAGCTGAAGCATACTGCACCTCTCGTTACCCTCTTCTCGAGCCAACCCGGCGCCTAGCCACACTCGGCCCCTAGAACCCCAACTCCCTGTTCTCACTCCCCCGCCAACGCTCACGCATGCGAGTTTCAAGGCCCTGAGCGCAACCCCCAACCCGGGCTGTCACCCTGCCCCGGTTTGCACTTGGCTCTCTCGCCGGGAACGGAATGTCGATGTTGCCGATTGGGCTGCCAAACGGGCCCTACAGCGATGGTCACGGCATCCCGCTGCTGGCCACCGACGCGGTGTCAGGTGGGGAGGGCCTGTGCGCCGCTGCAGCCCCGCACCGCACGGCCGGCACGGGCCGCTCCAATGCCGCCGCCGCTGGTGGGCTGGCTGCACCCTGCCCTCCTGCAGACATGGAGAAGAAGGGGCTCAGGGACCAGCTAGAAGCGCAGCCGCGCGAGATACAGCGGCTGCAGGGTGAGTGGGAAGGGGCAGGCTGCGCCCCGCTCTGGCTCCGCCTCCTGCTGCCGCTGCGCCCCTCGCTCGCTGCGGGCCTCTGCATGTGGTGCCATTCGCATTGGACCCCACCCTGCCACGGAGAGCTCGGCTCTCTGGTGCAGTGTGCGGCGGCCTCAGCAGCGCCCTGCGGTTGCAAGGGTGCCGCCGAGGGGCTGCAAGGCTGCACCCAAGCCTCGGCTCCCCTGCTCCCCCTGGCCCCGCTCTCGGCTGCACCACCCCGCCGCTCCCACATCCCCTCTCCGCCCCTCCTGCAGGCACGCTGGCGCACTACCGCAACTGGGCGGCGCAGCTGCAGGCCCGCTACCAGCTGTTCAACCCTGATGCGGCACGCCCCGCCAAGCGCGTCTAGTGAGTGCCAGCCCGCCAGCAGCGGCAGCGCACTGCGGCCGGGCCGCAGCGGGGACACCTGGCCATGCATGCATTGCCATTTGCCATGCGTGGCATGTGCCGCACGCAGACGCCCTCCGTTTGCATGCCCCATGCGAGGCGGCCCGCCTGCCGCGCAACGGCGCGCTGCTCCCTCTCGCCTCGCCTCGCCCCCGGGGCGCACAGCTGGCGCTGCGCCGCCAGCCGCCACCCCGGGGCCGCCGCAGGTATGCCCAGCCCCGCCTCCCCTGCCCCCGCCGCCTGCCCCGCCGCAGCGTGGGCAACCTGCCCGCCGCCGTGAGCGAGGCGGAGCTGCGGCAGGCGGTGAACGAGCTCATGGTTCAGTCTGGGGGCACCGCGGCGCCCGGCTTCCCCATCACCTCCTGCAAGCTGTACCAGGCGCGCGGCGCTGGGGCCGGGAGGGGCCGGCTCGCCCGCACGCAGCCTGGCGCGCCCTCGCCGCCTGCTGCCTGCCTGCCCGCCTGCCCGCCTGCCTGCCTGCCTGCCTGGTGCCGCGAGCGCGCCGGACCACCGCCCCGCGCCCCGCCCACTCGCCCCGCCCGTGCCGCGCGCCGCGCTTCCCCCCTCCCGCCCCACCCCCGCCGGCCCGCGTCGCTGCAGGGCAACGGTGACCTGCTGTTCAACGGCATGCACCAGGTGCAGGACAAGGGGTATGCGTTTGTGGAGTTTAGGAGCGTGGAGGAGGCGTCCAACGCGATGGCGCTGGACGGGGTCAAGTTCCACGACTCGTACCTCAAGGTGTGGTGTGTGGTGTGGTGTATACACCTTGGGGGGATGCTGTGGTCACGCTGGGCTGGGCACACGCTGGGCTGGGCACACGCTGGGCTGGGCACGTGACGCGTGTCGCTGCACGTGCGCCTGCCTGCCTGCGGCGCACCGCCGCCTGCCGGCCCCCACCGGCCTCGCGCCGCGCCCGCGTCCTCCCCCCCCGCAGATCCGCCGCCCCAACAACTATGACATCACGCTGGCGCTCATGCTGGGGCCCACAGACCCCCCTTCCATGTAGGTGCGCCGTGGCAGCGGCGGCGGGGAGCGCAGCCAGCGGATGGCGGGGTGGGGTGGCGGGGTGGGATGGCGGGGCGCGGGTTTGGCGGGCGCGTTGCGGCGCGCCGCGCCGCTGCTCCCTTGCCGGCGCGGCCGGCCCGGGCGCCGCACCTGCCTTGCCGGCCCGCTGCCGCGCGCGTGCCTGCCTGCCTGCCTGCCTGCCTGCCTGCCTGCCTGCCTGGCGCCGGCCCACCCGGCGCGCCCCCCTGCCCGCGTCCCCTCACCCGCGCGTGCAGCTGGTGGGCCTGGAGGTGGTGAAGACTGTGGTGCAGGACTCGCCGCACAAGCTCTTCATCGGCGGCCTGCCCTGCGACTGGTCTGAGGACCAGGTGCGCTTGCGCCGCCGCTGGAGCCGGCACCGCACCCCGTGCCGGCATGGCTCGGGCCGGAGGCCATGTGCGCCGGCCTGCCTGCCTCGACCCGCCAGGCGCTCCGCTGCCCTGGCCCCCGCCTCGCCCATGCCGCCCGGCGGAAGCAGCCGGCCTGCCCGCGATTCCCCGCCCATGCCCAACCCCAGCCCTGCCCCATCCATCCGCCGACTGCCTGCCCTTGCCGCCGCCCCGCCTGCGCCCGCGCCGTGCCCCCTCTCCCTGCGCGGCGCAGGTCAAGGAGATGCTGATGCCCTTTGGCCAGCTCAAGGCATTCAACCTGGTCATGGACCGAGGCACGGGCAACAGCAAGGTGGGGGCAGGGCGGGTGGGGGGGGGGGAGGCGGCGCCCACGGCGGCGCCGCCCGCTGTGTGACGCCTGGCTGCCGCCCTGTGCCTATGGCATGCCGCTGCGGCGGCCGCAACGCGCCTCCACCTCTACCCCCCCCCCACCGCCGCACACATACACTCTGCACACACATATAGTTCACTCTGTCGCTCCGCCGTGGTTGCCCCCGCCCCGCCCCCGCCCCAGGGCTACGCCTTTGCCGAGTTCATGGATGTGCACGTGACCGACATTGTGATCCAAAACCTAAACGGCAAGCCCTGCAACACCAAGTTCCTCACGGGTGCGCACCCCCTCGCCCCCATCGCCCGGGCTCCTGTGCCGCTGCCTGGCCTGCCTGCTCCTCTCCGGCCGGCCGGCTGGCGCGCCAAGCTTGCCGGCCCTGTCGCGGCTGTGCCGTCGCGCCGCCGCCAGCGCCCGCGCCGCCGCCTGCTGCCAGGTGTCTGGCCCCAGCCCGGGGCGTCGGGGTGTGTGCTGGCTGCCGGGCGCCACCTGCTGAGGAATGCGCCTCGCACCGCGCTGCTGCCCCCCTTGCCTGCCGTGCAGTGAAGCGCGCGCTCGCCCCATCCCCCTTCTAGCATGCGCGGTGCGGCAGGCGCCCCTCTGCGCCGCACCAGCAACCTGTCCCAGGCCCCCCCAACTTCTTTCCCACAAAGCCTCCACTAAATTGAACGAACACAACCTCTGCCTCGTCGCTACGCTTTCCTCCCCACCCTACCCCCTCTTGCCACCGCCCATTGCTGGAGGGGTGTGAGCGGCCTGCCCCGCCTGCCCGCCAGCGCCTCCCCTGCGCCGGCTATGTGGCGAGGACGCAGTGCTGTCGGCGCGCATGCTGCCGCCGCCGCCGTTGCAGCACTCGCCTCCCTCGCTCCTGCTGGTGTACATCTTGCTTGGCTCATGCAGCCCTTGCCATGGCTTTCAAAGGGGCGACCAGTTCCCCGCTTCCCGCTCTCTCTTCCCGCTTTTCTCCCTACTCTTACCCCCCACCTCCCCACCCCACCCCCCATTCATCCTCTGTTCATTGCGCCACTCGGTCTCCCAAGATGCCGCTCGCATGCCCATGCCCCGTCCGGCCACAGCACTGCTTTCTCACGATGCCCGTGGCGCTGTGTGGCGGCGCACGGCTCGGGGCCGGCTGGCGCGGCGTTACCCAACCCCCGCGCTGCCCACCGTTGCTGGTGGCGCCGCCTCCCGACGTCTTCCCCACGAGCTCATGAGTTCCAGGCTTTTTCAGGCTGCGGCCTTGGCGGGCGGGGGA